AATAATAAAGCAATTAGTGATGAAAAGTAATGAGTAATAAAAGTAATAATAATTATTACTTATTACCGAGTAATAGTAATAAAAAGTAATAGTAATGTAGCAGCCCTACTTTTAATCAGGTTTTCCAAAGACCGGATCTCTTGAAAACCCTGGTAAAAACATCTTAGATCTTGCAAATCACACCAATTGAAAGAGCACATATGAAAATCTACAGATATAGTGTTTAAAGGATTTCGTATCACTTCTATGGCACATGTCCATGTGCCATAGAAGTGATACGTTTCAGATACGTGTTCAGCACAGTGGGCAATTTTGACTAGGCACATGTCCATATGCCTGGTCAAAATTGCCTACTGTGCTGAACACTAACACTAAAAGTGAATACTCAAAAAACTTTACATGAGTACTCAACAGTTGGAAAATTCATAGCTGTGTTCTCAATTACTTCTCTTATTAGTTAATAATGTATAGGTCGTTCAATTTATTTTGAAACGATTTGCATGCAGTGTTTCTTTACAAATCGTTTCAGAAAAAAAATTTCTTACTATACCAAATGATAGACAATTTAATTCTCTACAAGATTGTATATTCATTTTTAAGATTCATCTTTGATGTCTGGCACAGTAAGTCTAACAGGAAAAGCTCCAAACTTCTTAAGTGCACCTAAATTAATTTGGAGCTTTTCCTGTTAGACTTACTGTGCCAGACATCAAAGATGAATCTTAAAAATGAATATGCAGTCTTATAGAGAATTAAGTTGTCTATCGTTTGGTATAGTAAGAAATTTTTTTCTGAAACGATTTGTAAAGAAACACTACACGCAAATCGTTTCAAAATAAATTGAACGACCAGTAAATTATAAATAAGATTTGTCTATCCTTCTTCAAACGTATTGACAAATAAAAATGGCCTTCTTTCTATTCTAACCATAAGTAATACTTGCTTACTTTTAGCTTTTTTTGCTTTATTTTTTTTCTTTCTATTCTAAATTATGTTAATACTTGATGAGTTCAATGCAGTGATATCCAGTTAAAATAAGATAATCGGAATAATAAATTCTAAGTAATTTTGTCCATTTTTTGAAGAAGTAAAGGTAATTTCTTTAATTTTAGACTATGATGATGTTGGCGTGTAATACAATGTTGAATATTATATTACACGCCAACATCGTCATAGCAAACAACATTGAATGTTGTGCTACTTAAGTCCATTTTTTCATTTTCAGTTTCAGTAAGACGCACGTTGTTAATAGTAGCTTCGCATAACAAGTATAAAAATTTAACAAGAACGCTTTCTCTAACATATTTCAAATCAATGCAAACTAAATAATGGTAAACGATCTCCTTTAGAAAACTTGAATAAGATTTTGCCTGGTGCTTTCAAATTTTTTTCTTTTACATAGTTTGATAGAGTAAAGTGCTCTCTTCACAATCTCCTAAAAGTTTCTAGTAAAAATTTGAGCTTTTCACACAAGAATATGCCACAAACTATAGATCGATTATTTTTTTATCAAAGTTCTATTTCTAATAAAAATGTGCGCTCGATCGAGCTTTTGCCTGTACTTTAACCAATAAGAAGGAAAAAGACGAGATATGGTTAACAAAGAATTTTTAAAATAAAGGTTTTCAACAAAAAGCAAAACGGAAAGTATGAATTTTTATTGAATATTTTACATAGTTTAATTCTGATAATTCCTTGCAAGAAGAAAGCATATTGAAAATTTAGTAGAAAATCAAGTACAGTTTCAATTTTTTTTTAAATAATGGCTACCATTCCATTTTGGAATTATAAACTCTGTGAAATCATTGTATGTATTGACTATAATTGCAAGCCAGTCTGCTAATGTATTCGTGAATGTATGAGCCTAAATGAACTTTGATAAACTGCCTAGTGCTCTCGGAATGCAGCAAGTGTTTCTTAAGCCTAAACAGACGCAAGAGAACGATAAAAAAAAACGTAAGGTCATATTCGGAATCAGCGTCAAAAACTGAGTCGAATGATATACTTCTTTTTTCCTATCTGACTATTTTAAATTATTTTGAACTTTTATGTCCTAAAATTACTGAGATTTTCAGTAGAAAAAATAAAAAATCGATGAAAAATTTTGAAATATAGATCATTCGACTCACGAGGAAAGTATCCCAAGTTGCAAATCGTTTTTTCGATGAAACCAAGTGGACTATGTAATTGATGACCAAATATGAACGTCGGAGTTGTACTTAGGTTTTTATTAACCGGTTTTCTGAAAACTATATCTTCAGAAAACCAGTGATCAAATCATAGCCATTTTGTAGAGGACACAAAACTGTGTATGTTCCATGAGTTTTAGTTTTTCAAATTACCATTGTACGGTGCTATCATTTTGCAAAGCATCCTACTGCAATAGTTTTCCATCAAAGCCGGTATAGCCACTATTTTGGGAAATTTTCCCACGCTGTCGATTTTTGTTTTGCAAATCTAAAGCGTGTGAAACATAGACAGTTTTGTGTCCTCTACAAAATGGCTGATTCAGAAAAGTTTTGTGAATTTGATCACTGGATTTTTGAAGATATAGTTTTCAGAAAATCGGTTAAAAAAGCCTAAGGACAACTCCGACGTTCATATTTGGAATCAGCATCATTAATTACATCTAATCCACTTAGTTTCATCGAAAAAACGATTTGAAAGTTGGGGTACTGTCCCCGTCAGTTTTTGACGCTGATTCAATTTTTCAACATGGAAATAATTTTTTCAAACATTAAAACACATATTTTCTGAATCAGCTGGACGCACTCTATCCAACTATGTATAAAAAATGCAAAAATAAAAATCTGCTGAATTTTCGAATTTCCAGCACCCTCCAAATCATCTTTTTTTCTGTTTCAGTTCAGCTTAATATTTAATCTTTAACTATGTGACAGTGGCAGCAAAAATTTACCGCCCAGATATTTAGTGAGTAAAACGCTTCCAGACGTTATTATAAAAGATGGGCCAAATTCTTTCACTTAACTTCCACACTATATCTTACTCAGTTTTGGACGCTTTTTCGAATGACTTAATCAAAATTTTTTTTTACACACTCATTCCTGAGATTTAGCAGTCACACTGAAGAGTATGGCACTTTTGGCCTAAAGTCGCATTTTCATCATACGGAAAAAGCTTTTCAAAATTACTTTTTCAGCAAAACGTAGCTCGGGGGCACAAAGGCATTTTTGCCAAAGTAAATTTTTGCGTATGGAAACGTTTTGGTAAACTTCGAGTAAACACATCATCAAACGCAGTTTTGGACGCTGAGCACGAATATGACGTTACTTTTTAATGGAAAATGTTTTCATGGGTGGAAAGTCGGTTTTAATATTCAGAAACCCGTTTTCCTCTTCGAACTTAAAAAGTTCAAATTTACCGTACTTATACAACGTAAAAGGAGATTTTTATCAGCTATACGGAAAATTTTTGCTGACCTGAAAAAGGTTACGTTTCAGTCTAATAGGCCTACAAAGAGCAATAATGAATATTTCTAACTTTTTTGATCTGCAAATACACTAGAGAGAGCGGACAATATTTTGGTACAAACCGCTTGTCAAAAGCGTTTTATCTTACCGAGTTATGATCAAAAGGGAAAGGGATTTGGGGTGTACAGAAAATTTTTGCTGCCAGTGTGACATGTTCAGTTGGCATATGCATCCACATTGACTCTTTTGGGTATATTGTCAATGTATGATTGGTGCGTCGGAGAAACAATTGTTTGATATGACTATTGATCATACGGCTAATAAAATTGTATTGCAATCGATATAATAAATAGATCACAAGCCACTTCGAAGAATAGTTTCATATAATTTCAATGAAAAATCCGTCTTTTTGTCTCACTTCTTTCAAATTCCTCTGAATTTTAGTAAAGAATCCAGCGTTTGTTATTCTTGTTGCCATCAATAAGTCAGATGGTTCATCAAGGCGGAGAATTTCATAATTCATTATTCTATGGCTAAAGACTATTAGCTGCTGAATTCATAGTAATTCAAGTCTCCACGGTAATGTAAACTGATACTAATTAACTAATAATTTCTCCTTTTTTGTCATTCATATAAGCAAATTTTACATGAAGCCATGTTGAGTCTTAAAATAGCTGTATAAAGCTCTTTTATCTTCTAAAGCCAATCTATTGTTTCTAAGAAATATTGAAAATGACTTTAAGATCCAAATGAAACATTCATGTATTCCTAAGAAAAGAAACAAAAAAAATTCTCTGGAGAGGGAGATTATCTCTCATTTTTTTGTTTTTATCATGTTCTGTTCTTTTCCCGTTATTAATTGATACTGGAAAATATATGGATACCCCCACACACATTTACGGTGTATCAACGTTTATTGTTCTTGAGAGTGCCTTAGGTCAATAAGATCATTAGACTAATAAAATATTTCAAGACAAAAACGTCTTTTTTTTTCATCGTTAGCACAAATAAATTTTCTGATCCTTTTTTTTCTTAACACTCACTAAATTGAACATAAATAAAGTACGTATTGGAAAGAGTTCAAGATCTATATAGATTGTCGATTTTCATCTGTTTTTCTTTTGTAGAAAAGACTTTCTTGTTGATACTAAAAATGACTTCATTATGGTCATTATTATCGCTATTGTTATTCGTTATATTTAACATTGTTCAAATAACTCCTGTTCTAATGGTTGATGGTAGCAATGATCAGGATAGTCTAAATCCACTATTATCGGTAACTGATGGTATTGATGCTATCGATGATGTCAATTCATCTAATCAACAACAAAATATTGGACATATAATTAAAAATATTATACAGGAAACTGATCCGATTGTACAAAATTTATTATTAAACCAATTACGTGAAGATTTAAATCGTATGTGTATTCAAGGACATTTTGGATCAACGATGGCTCATGCATGCAAACATATTTTGAGCCATACTGTTCAACAACAATTATCACCATTGATGAGAGAATATCAGCATAAACAACAACATAACGATGATGATATTGATTCAACAACTCAAACAAAACAATTACAAAAACGATTTTTTTGCAATGGTTTCATCGGATGTAAACATGGAGGACGTTAAAAATAATGATAGTCTAATAGGTATGGTATTTTAATTCTAACTTTTATGGTGGATGCTTTAAACTTATCATACTCCTTGGCGAAGCATATTTCTATCATTTGTTTATTTTATCATGTTATGATCGAATAAAGTCGAATATATATATAAATATAAAAACTTATAAAAGCAAGAAAAGTTATCGAAACTTCACTACTAACTAACAGATGACAGCGGATAAGGCCATTTTTTTACCCATCATATTTTTTGTATTATTTGCATACAAAAATGTAGAACAACATTTTGAGATAATTAATTTTCTGCCTAGGTATCTCTTAGTTAAGAAAATCGGTCGAGAAATTAACGTTGTTATAAAGACAGATTGCCAATAATATAACTAGGTATCTAATTCATTTGCGACTGTCTAGCACATCCAGAGCAGATTTGTCATTAATGAATAAATTTCATCAGACTAGATACTTTTTCTAGCTATCGAAATATTCATACTTGCATCTCCTATACCCAAACCGATTTTCAAGCGACCTATAACTAAAATAATAAGATTTTTCCAGGTAACTTCGGAAATTGCTGAAAACATATGCTATCGGCCATTTTAAAATTTGTAGCAATGTTTATTTTCAGATTGCCTTGGAAATATTAATTTAACCTTAATTTTAGCGTAAAAAAACAGTTTTTTTATGTTCGAGGCTCAAACACAACCAAGTCATAGGAAATTTGAAATTTTTAAAACATAATTAGATGAGTCGCATAGGGACTGAAAAAACGCTGAATTTATCTTATTTATCCAACAGCGATATCTCATACGAAAAACACAATTCTTTTCCTCTTTTGTGGCTTCTGGTGTTAGGTCGTTATTATTGTACTATTTATTTCACAATAGTGTAGTCATGGATGCTTTTTGAATAACATTTGATTAGAAACAGTTGGAGTGTGGCTTCATTTTTAGTGCATTCCCATAAGTGCATCTTATTTTAGCGCGTCTTATTTAGGTGCGTTTTCAACTACACCACTTATCCTTGAAAATATTTTGAAACTTTTAAACCGTTTCTATCATCACTGTTTGATATTAATTCTTACTCACTGGTAACCTTTTATTCCAATTTCAAAAATAATCTAGCTTACAATAACTATTACAATAACTATAATTTCGAACAGCTTCATCATCAAAACACCTCCGAGTTAAGTGTCATTTCAAATTCCGCATCTTCCTGGTAACTCAAGAATTCAGCCCTATATGTTCCGAAATATAAAATGTATGGACTGCGGCTATTCCGCGTCATACGAGTCTGTTTGTTTTCATCAATTTAATGAGCAAAGTTAGAAAGCATCTACAAATGTATTTTTGTACAAAAATATTGATAATATTTATACATGTACAAAAATATTTCTAGACCGTAACTATTTCTTTCAATATAGATGAGCTGGTTTAGTGACAAGACAATAGTCATTTTTTCTTTCTTTTTACTGTTGTTATTTTACTATGTATTAGCGGACGATGGGTTTATCACAGTCTTTCTCCTTCTCTATTACTAATCGTTCGTTCAGTTATGGATGCTACTCACTCGAAGTAACGTCACCGAGTAACGTCTCTATCTTATTCTTTCGTCTGTTTTCTCTCTTTTCTTTTTATACATAATTCTGATAATACTTAAGAAGAATAAAATAGTTGAAACAAAATCGAACGTTTAAAGTTGAACAAGGGCAATTATCAAGAAAGAATATTAGTTAGGCATTAGCTCCGGACCTAATAGCCCTAAAACATGCATGTGCATTAAAATGTGTACGAGAAAAAAGCTCGCATACACCTCTAGACTTCTTTTTATAAAGCAACATAAATATTCAATATCATGTCATTTATGGGTAGCAAAAAAGCGAAATAACTTACTTTTTCTTACCCATAATGAGGAAAAATTAACAATCACTACTGCTTAAATCTTGTTCAAAATAGAAAAATAAACGTGTCACTTAGAGTGGCTAATGACACTTAACTCTAGAACGTCCGTAGCGGTCATTTTGACCGTTTTGTGATTTTTATCCTTAATAAAACAAACTGCATACAATTTATTTAAAAATAAATTATGTCATAACTTTTAATTTGTCCCACAAAAATTATTTTTTGCAGAATTTTGAATTCATTTTTGAATTCAGAACCATTTTTAAGTATAAAATTTTAAAAAAAAACAGTAACGGTCAAAATGACCGCTTTGGGCGTTCTAGGTCATGAAAATTTCCAGGCGTTCTAGTGTTAAAATATGCATGATTTTACTTGATTTTTTATGCCAGATCACAAGTCAAGTCAAGTCTTTTAAAAAAAATTCCAGGTCAGGTCAAGTCATGAGTCATGAGCCATCAAAAATTTCCCAGGTCAAGTCAAGTCAAAAATCACTTGACTTGCCCAGCTCTGTGTAACACTGGAGGACCTATATGGAAGTACCTCATGATCACGAAGATGTTTTCTTTATTCCTAGTCGACTGATGTCTATGCAATTGTTCATATTTCAAGACTTCAATTTAATAAACTGTTCATCTACTAAATAGCGGCGTAGCCACCGCTAATTGGTGTTGCCCATCTGCTAAAAGTTTTATAATTCACACTACTCTAGACGCTTTTTTGGACGCTTTTTTTTGTCCATGAGATGTTCGCGTTTTTCAGACAAGTTTTGCGTATGAAAATTTGGTTATATGACGCAACAGAGGATTTGAGCCAGAAGTTGATTGATACGGAATTAATTTTTACAATTATCACGAACGAAATTTTGAAGAATTATATCATGACGTATGACAGAAAATGTTTTCCAAGCTTGACTTCGATAAGCGACTCCTTCAGGTTTCTCAATTTGAATACTTCTGCTCTTTTGTCTAATTAATTCACCCAAATTCTTCTCATTCATTTTTAATGCAATTGTGAAGTGAGAAGGATATTTTTCTTTTTCGCGAGGAAGCAAGAATAACAGTAGACTATACGTATATAGAACGCCGAGATAAACACGTTTTATTTTTTCTAGTGTAGTAAAAACATGCGGTGAGAAAGCAGAAAAGAAGAAAAAGGTATAGACTATATTCTGTTTGTTTCTTTCTTTCTGTTGTGTCTTACGGTCAAATATTTTACCACTAGCGTTTGCGTTCGGCCGAATTGTTGCCTTGAAAAAAATTTAAAACTTTTTCAGTTTGTCCATGTCTATCTGTGTCCATGGACAAATTTAAAAAAAATGTCCATGGTCGCTCACGGCCATGGACATGTCCATCTAATGCAAGGCTCTAATTGCAGCTACATTCGCACAGCTTAATTTCATCTGGTAAATCCAGTCCTCATTGGTTAACGGTTGAGATATGTACGGTAGGTGCAAATCGCTAACATCGACGCTGCTTCTAATTGTGTCTAAAGGTCGCTCGTAGCGTACCCAAACAGTAGTCAACCGAGTTCGAAAAACGAAAGTGATAATGATGAAACACTTGAGATTGAATGACATAATACTCAAGATTTTAATCATTTTGCATAAGCATTTTACCTGGTGATGAACAATGTGTCCGTAGAGGCATGTAGTTTATACCCGATTTGTCAACTATGAGGAGGCATTGCTTAACTTAACTCAATGTACTAAAGTGATAGAAAACATACATATCATTGTCACCGTTAAGCCACGTTCACACGACACATTTTAACTTAGTTTAATCCTAATCTTTCCTATATTATCCCGTGTGAACACACTCAGTTTGTTAACTTAGTTTAAGAACTGAGTTTGGTAATTTGCCAACTTAGTTAAGTTAACCGCGTTCACACAACACTTTTTAACTTAGTTTAATCCGAATCCTAACCTGGTTCCAAATGACACCGTTCAGACGCTCCTGGGGATTGACCAACGTAAAAATACTGAAAATTACCTCCTCGAATAATTTGCGGGACGCTCTATGAGCCACAAATGCGCTTCGTGTGTATAAGTTATTTGACCATAGCGCATGTGTAAAGGATGCTAACCACTGATTGATCGATGTTTAATAGGGGGGTCCTTAACCGAGTTCTATAAACTTGGTTAACTTAACCAAGTTGGCAAATTGCCAAACTAAGTTAATAAACTGAGTGCGTTCACACGGGACAAACTTTAAAAGACTAGGATTAAACTAAGTTAAAATGTGTTGTGTGAACGTGGCTTTATAGAACTTGGTTGAGGACCCCCTATTAAACGTCGGTCAATCATTGATTAGCTACATCTTCTACACATGAGTTATGGCAAATAACTTATACACATATGCAGTTCGAAGAGCATTTGTAGTTAATACAGCGTCCCGCAAATTATTCGAGAAGGTAATTTTCAGTATTTTCACATTGGGCAATCCCTGAAGCGTCTGATTTGGACAATTCAGAGCGTCTGAACGGTGTCATTTCGAACTCGGTTAGGATTTGGATTAAACTAAGTTAAAAAGTGTCATTTGAACGTGGCTTAACATTTGACCACTTAGCATGATATTGTTATACATTTACCGTAACATGTCGGAATAGTGCAGCTTGTCTCTTCTGTAAGATAGTCTCTCTCTGAAAACACGTCCTGTCTCTCTCGTTCCATCTTGTCGATATTACATGTATCACTTACTACACTGTTTATACCACTCGTGTCTCCATCATAGAACATACGGCCTTAAATCATTGATCAAAGATAAAAGCTGTATAGGTTGAACAGTAGGGTTAGAACGCACTTTAGCGATGTACAGAATGGGAATATAACACCTCGCATTTAAATTTTGAACAATGTAGTCCATAAGTAAATTCTTCACAGTTGAATTCAAAGTTCAAGTGTACGATTCCATCAACTGTGTAGTATTGCTTTGTAATTTGCTTCTTTTTGTTCTATCTTTATCTCTCTCATTCAACCGATACCCGATTTGTTAGCTTTGAGGGGACGGTGCTTAACTCAATGTACAAAACTCCGGGGTAATCAGTTTGTCAAATAACAAAAAATACGAAAATAGAGGACTCATTTAGGAGATATCATTTTAAGTTATTTAGATAAACATTTTGTATTAGGCAATTGGTCATTTTACTTCAAGTTTAATAATCTTGCGCCATATTTGAAACAGAATAAGTGGTAAATAATTAGTGTGACTATTTTGTTGTTTCTGTATTGGTTTTTTGCTATTATTTCAAAGTTGATTTTTGGAATGAATTCTCCTCTAGTTTTATGAGATCCTGTCGAGAATAAAAATGTCTTGTTCAATTTGGTTATGCTGATTTTCCTGCTTCAAAAATCATTCTCTAAAAGAACCAAAAAAAGGCTAGTAATTATGAAATTTTTCTTTTTTAAGATAATCTTTTGACATTTGAACTGAGTGTTAATTAGATAACACTTTATAGCCGCTTTTGCTATCGTTTTGTTCCGGATTTAACGCAGAATGGCTACATCTGCAGCGACTGAAAAACCTCGTTTGATCATTTTGGGTGCCACGGGGGGAACTGGACTTCAACTTGTTGAGCAAGCACTGAAGAAGCATTATTTTGTCACGGCACTAGTTCGAAACCCAGAGAAATTGCAGCACATTCAGCATCCCGATTTGAAGGTAAGCATCGACTCACAACTCATAGAAAAAAATCCGATGTTAGCTGAAAATGTGCCAGTTAGTTTGAGAATAACATGCCAAAATGGTTGATAGCAAGATCATTTTCTTAGAATCGCATTCCCACACGATTCAAATAGAGATATGCGTTTTTCTTTCTTTTTCATTCTTGTAGTATAAGACATTGATGTCCATTGTTTAGGTTGTTCAATGTGATTTGATGAATCCACTTGATTTAGCTTCGAAGATGGAAGGTCATGTTGCTGTTTTATCAGCATTGGGTCAACCTGGTTTGCAAATATCCGCAATGACATTCTATGAAGATTCTATCAAATCTATAATAATAGCTATGCGAAATTCTAAAATAAAACGCTTAATATGTGTAACAGCATTTTATACAAAATGTAAAATAAAAAAATGAAAGCTAGAAATGTAAATTATAATAAATTTTTAAAATTTGTTTAGATCAACCGTCGGTGTATCCGTTTATATTTAAATTAGTAATTCGTCCAATGATAGGTCGTCATTTGGATTCAATGTTTATCATGGAAGAGTATCTCGAAAAAGAATGTCAAGATATTGATTATACGATTGTTAGACCACCACGCCTTCTTGATGATCCAATTATTGGTAAATAGCTAAACAAATTGTTCTTGATAGTAATGAATGTTATTGTTTGCTTTTTTTCTTCAAGAAAAAGCTGTTAAAGTTCAAGAAGATGATTATTTTTTTCCCGATTATTCAACAGCCACTCGAATACCTCGTGCCAATGTTGCACGATTTATGTTAGACACACTGCAAAATGATCAGTATCTGAAGAAAGCTGTGGCTGTTGATATGCCAAAAATGATGGGAAAATCTGCCTAATAGTTTTGACTCATTCACACATCTTTTGTGGAACTTTCTGTATGTAAATAAAAAACCGTGAAGCTTTTTGTATGTAAATAAAAAACCGTGACGCTTTTTGTATGTAAATGAAAAACAGTGAAACTAGTTATAATTAAGTTGGTTCATTTATAAACAAGTATCCAGATTTTGAGGATGTTTTTGTTTTTTTATACATTTTTTACTTATTTTACAGATAGATGTAATGTTGTTGGTTTTCTTTTTGTTTGATTCGAATCATTGCTTAAGAGTACTTTTCGCAGTTATATTGATACTATTATCTACGTTTTGTAAGTATCAATCACACCTAGTCAGTAGTCTCTGTAGTACTCAAGACAAATAAGAAGAATATCGTCGTAGTCTAATTCTCAGAAGAGAAAACATGATTAGTGAAACTGTCCAATAGGCTGGTAGTTTTAGGTGATTTAAAGAGCGAAAACATTGCAGAAATAACTTTAGAAAAATTTCACATAATCTGGTTTTTATCTTAGATTTGATTTCATTTTTTTGTCAAATATCATTATCCGTTTTTTATTTACAAAGAATGGCATCGGCGCAAGCGTAAGTTCACATTTTTTTTCAATTTTCTCTGATTTTTAACGTAGCAACTGTTGTTTAGATATGATTATTCCAATTATGATTATGGAGGTTATACTTCTGAATCAGTTTATCCATCGTCCGCTTATCCAAGTCATACAACAGCCTATACCGGATATGATACGTCTGTGTTACCCTATGGATCGTCTTCATCGGCATCTGCAACATCGTATCCCACTTATGATGGTTATTCCACGGCGTCTTATGCATCAGGTACACAAATAAAAAGTTTAAGAGGAATACTCGTATCATTTTATGTTTAGGTTCTGCGTATGCTTCATCAACTGATCCGTATGCCGGATATTCATCGTCGACAGGTACATACTTCGTTGTTTATCTACCTGATTTAGAACTACCAGTACAAGATTTTCGTTTTAGCATATGCTCCTTATTCATCGTCCTCTTCTGCTCCCGCTAGTCAACCACCGCCGCAATCTTATTCCTATGGTTCATCATATGGTGTGACACCTTACGACCGTCGTACGCCTCCGTTGCCTCCTTCGTCTCATCACACAGTTTATGATTATTCTTCGTCTACTGGTGGTGGAAACTATGCTACTGCCTCATCATACAAACCGTCTTTACCCAGTACATCTCGCTATTCATCTCAACAACATCCAGCTTCAGCAAGCCATTATCCACCACCTGCTAACCATTCAGTTATTCCATATCAACATCAATCATCGCATCATATTCAAACCTCTTCTGTACCTTCACATCATATTCCTTCAACGCATCATCAAGGTTTACATTCATCACATTCATCATCATCACTCTATGGTGCGCCGCCAAATGGAGTTCAACCATTGGCACAGCATCAAGCACCAATGGCCGGGGTTTATAATTCAAATCCTCAATTAATGGCGATAGCTGCACGACGGCCAAGAGAATATTTTCAACAACCCACAATACAACCACAATCATTACCCATGCAACAACAGCCACAATCTGTTCAATTACGGTAAGATAACCTTGGTTCTTTCCTATGGGTTTGTGTGTGTGTGTGCGTATTGTGTTATTGTTCTGTAACGGGAATGCTCATTGATATTTCCAGTGTTTTTTATGTGGAGATTTTTCAGCTAAATTTTTTTTGTTTATTGCAACGAATTTACTATTTCTTATTGTTCACAATAATCGATTGAGAAAGCAAACACTCTCACCATCGCAGATCTAATTAGAAATATAAACGTTAATTTTTGTCGTCAGTATGAATGCCACTCTTTTTCTTTTCGATCCAGTATGCGAATTATTTTCTTGTTTTATTGGCATCTTTCTCACATTATAATCATTCATTTTCATACCATTTTCTTTGCATATATTTGAAAAAACTATTTGAAAAAAATATAAGGATACTGCCGATTCTTGAAATTTTAACAGTATCCTTTGACACTTGATACTGTTCAGTTCGGACAAGGAAATCAACTGACATAACGAGTCTTCTTTTCCTACAAAAAGTTTTCTCTACGTGTGATTATGTGTTTTGTTTGAAGTTTTTTCTAAATCGTTTCTCACAATCACGATATGTTCCATCCTCGTGTACAAGTTGTGATTTATGGAACTTCAATTCCTTCTTTATGCTGTATTACAAGATATTTGATTATTAGATTTGATATGTTATCAGTCACTTGGATAATTGAACTATGTCGATATATGATAATTATTTTCTTGTTTCCGCTAATATCTCTAAAATTTTGACACTCTACTCGGAAAATTATTTGACGTTTCTTCCACACAATGTTTTATTGTTTTACGTTTGTTGTTTCTGCTGAAGTTATTCGTCATGCTAGTCAATATTTCAACAACATTACAAATAATAGAGTGGTCACTTCTGCATCACATATTACAAAAAAAGTTTTTTTCTTTTGTGAAACGTATATTTGAACACTGTTATGCGTAGAAAATGGTCTTTTCTCTCAATACTTCATATTAGCGATTATGATTAAGAATAGTTCGTTGATTTTTAAAAAAAGTCATTTTTGATATCTACATACAAAAACTCTGTTTCTGTAACATGTGTTGAATTATTTCACAACATCTTGATATTATGTCTTCGATTTTTAGGTACATTTATGTGTGTGTGTGAGAATTAACCTGTTTCTCTGGTTTTAATCATTTGTTTTGTTTTCAATTTTGTATTTTTAGGTTCGTCATATTATATGGATGCATAATCTTATTTTCCAGCTTTTCCTTATCTCTTTCATTCTAAATTTGTTTTCTTGCGTTCAAATCTAAATGAGTTATAGTAATTCCAAAAGAGTAAGAAGTCTCCTATCTAATAGTGAGGGTTTTCCACTGATGATCAGGTTTTTCTCATCTGTTTTTACTACTTGAGTTACAGTGACGTTATCTTCACTTATATTCTTGGTGCAAGAATGTTGTTTTTTCTGTATACTAAAATGAATGAAAACAAACGGGATCATGTTATTTATTCGTTATTTGCGTGAATCTACCTATACTTTCTATCTTCTTTTTCGCCTAATTATCTATTAAATGGAAGAATATGAAACCAATGTTGTTATTTTCTTTGTGTTTATTCCAGTTTGCCACCACGAGGGGGCTATCAACACGAATTAGACGGTAAGAATTTTAGAAAAAATACATATTGTTTCAATTTTGGTTACTTTTTTTTACTTTTATGTTTATGTTGTATACGTGTGCGTGCGTGTTACATTTTTGTCTTCTTTCTTTAAAAACAAAAAGATCTTTTATAATAGTCGTTTTCATACTGAGATGTTTTTCTCTCTTGTTTATGTATTCTTTATTTCGGAACTCATGTTGATAATGTTGTTTTTTCAATTTTTTTTCAACTAATAGAGCCTGGTGATGAAAATGAATTACTTCGACATGTGATATTTATCAGTGGTTTACCAAAAGAAATACAAAATGAAACATTAGCTGAAGTTTTTGCTGCATGTGGAGCAATTGCACCGGTGAGTTTGAGTACATGTCTCTACCAAGGCAGAAATATCGAATCTTGACGTGGACTTTATAGCTCACACCAGAATTTGTTCGTACAGAAATCTTACAATTGCATTGATCTGAAAGAGTATTATATTTTCTCTGTATATAAACTTTGTATAGCGTGCGTGTCAGAAAAGTTCTCTGCAGTCTGTTAAACACATTTTTCACATTATACATTTATTTAGGTTGATGTTCGTTCAACAAAACCAAAAATTTGGGTCTATAAAGATCGTCAAACACGTGAAGGAAAAGGTGAAGCAACAATTACATTTGTTAATGCTGACTCAGCACAAGCAGCCATTGCCTTCTTTGATGGTATGTGTCATGTTCCTGACAATTTTAAAGCATCTATTTTGCATAAGCGTCTGTTTATAGATAAAGAATTATTTGGTCGTTGTATCCGTGTTACATTGTGTTCTCGTCGTTTATACAATATGCAAAAACAGAATACACCATTTAATAAAATAACAACAACAACGAATAATAACACAACTGTTGTAGCAGCTACAAATGGTCAAACAGCAGCGACACCGATTTCAACCGTACCATTATCAGGTAGTTCAGCAATACAGCCTACAGCGATTACTCACTCACAACAACAGCAACAATTATTGAGATTACATCAGACGCCCGAACAACAACGCGGATTATTACCAACGCCACCAATCACGTTAGGAGGGTAAGAAGAAAATAAGAAGGAATTTGAATCTACTGCACAAATTGAGCGCTTTTCATTTGAGTATGTCTTTATTTTTTTCATTTGCATTCTAGAGCACCACTCATCCCGGCTGCAACACTTCCTCCACAACAACAACGTGATGTACCAAGGAAAGAATTACCGCGCATTGGAATGAATAGGTAAGTATAAGACCAACAACGAAGAAGATTTTGTGATACTATGAACGTTTTATTCTAATTTCTCAACTTTAAACAGAACAACTTATCATGTGAACAAATCTGTTTGTCACAGAAAGGTGGCATTAATCCATTTTTTAATAGAATTTTTCTCTCTCTTTTCTTCAGAGGTACATATCCCCATCAATCCAGTGTTCGTCCAAAGCCATATTAGAAAATAATCACGTATTAAAATCGAGTAGTGGAACATTGTCAAAATAAAAAAATTCTTTTGTTAAACAGAATAAAATTTACGTGTTTTTGCGCGTGCATATTTAGCCACCTGTGGTTGGCTATTGTATTATTTGTGCGTCTTTTCTTTCTAAACGCGAACTATATGTGACTTCTTGTTTTTCTGTGTGCGTATTTTCTTTTTTGATGTTTTTTTCTCTTTTCTTAATCTACTATTCTTTGTTGTCGTTATTCTTATTCTTTCGAATGCGTTTGTACTTGTCAAAAATAAAATACGTGACTCATACGCAGAATAATCGCAAGCAGCAAACATTCATGTCTTTTCTTAGAGTTCTTTGAACGATTTCACAACGTATTTGAAATATCATTTATTTGTTTCGAATTAATAGACTAACTATCAGGGGCCCCCCGATAAGGGGGGAACCCTTCCCTGCTTTTTGA